CATTATCATTATAAAAAATAGATGAAAATTTACTTATTTGATTGGCCCTATTTAAGTTTTTATTTCATTTCAATGAAGCTGATATAAGAAAATTACAAAAAAAAAAAAAATTACTATACCACACATTCTAGAATTAAGAATTGACCACACTCAAAGTACATATGGCTAGACTACTAATTGCATAGGTATACTTGTTTCTTGAAACAAATTTTGTTGTGTCTTAACTCATTACAAGTTTGTGAAACTATAATTAACATAACATAAAAAAAATTAAAAACGTAATAGGCAAAAAATAATGTCTAATATTGAGATAAATATTTTCACTTCAAATTTTCAACAATCATAATGAAATTGTTGCAATAAACATATATTTACACAAAAAAAAAATTGAAGGTGTGCATAACTTAACCTACCAACCTATATTTTGTAAAATGCCATAATTGGTAAGGCAAACCTTGGCTTTTCATCAAGTACAGTTAACCTTTGAAAAATAAAAAATGAAATGAGAAATGTAGAGCATAAATATGCAATTTTTTAAACATTTCATTGAAACTACAACTGATTGTGATTATTAAGAGAAAAAATTTACTACATAAAAATTGATGATTTTTTTATCATCACTCAAATAATCTCAGGCCTCAGCAACTTCAACTGAAGTAAACATTATACCCTTAACATTTTACAATAGATTCAAGTTATTAATAATATTGTCACAACATAACAATAGTGTTTAATACATTAAAAAGCACTAAAGTTGCATAACCACAGGTGTGCATAACTTAACCTACCAACCTCTTTTTTTATAAGATGCCATAGTTAGTAAGGCAAACTTTGACTTTCCATCAAGTAGAGTTAACCTTTGAGAAATCGAAAATGAAAAGAGAAATGTAGAGCATAAATATGCAATTTCTTAAACATTTCATTGAACCTACAACTAATTGTGATTATTAAGAAAAAAGTTTTACTACATAAAAATTGATAATTTTTTTATCATCACTCAAATAATCTTAGGCTTCAGCAACTTCAACCGAAGTAAACATTATACCTTCAACATCCTACAATAGATTCAAGTTATTAATAACATTGCCACAACATAACAAATAGTGTTCAATACATTGAAAAGTATTAAAATTGCATAACCACAGGTTTGCATTTAACAAAAGTAAGTTTCCCTATAAAACATGACAATAAACCTCATAAATATCTAACAACTTCCATCCAAAAAGATTATCATCCTACTTTTCAAGAGTAGGTCCAAGCCTTACAAAGCATTCGAGTTACAGCCAACATTTAGAAAAGCTGCAACCTTTAAATGGTAAACAAAAATTTAAGCATGCTATAGAAAGGCTTTATGCACTTTCACACATGTTCAGAGAGTAATTATCATTTGTTACTATTTATATTTATTTACGACCATCGAGATAGACAACACAGATCATGATTTTTAGTTAATAAAAGAATAGAATACTCACCTTGAATGTTGTATTTAAATTATTCTTGGCATTGCTAAGAAGCTTTATATAATTATGGTTTTCAATTAAGTGAAAACCTTAGGCTTGGACACATACACAAATCATGAAAAAAAAATATATTCTAATCAAATTAATAAATTATTGATTTAAAAAAAATAGAATATGTATTGAAAAAAATAAATTTACCTTATCATTAGTGGCAACAAAATCAAGGCTAATTATTTACTTAATCTTAGATTCACAAAATCCTATATACATGCAATGTTGATTTTGACGATTTAATTTTGTCTAATTGGTGACAGCTCAAATAAGATCTGAAAACTCATGGTTGCTAATCTGCATTGTTAGGAAAAATAACTTATTAAAATGGACAAATAAGAAAACCAGTCTAAAAAAAAAGGATCACAACAATGGAACATGAATTACACATAAAAGAGTAAGCAACTATAGAAAGAATAAAATAAAGGAAAATAGTGCAAGGAGAAAAACCTTAAAGCAGTAATGTAAACCTAATTTAAGCTTTAAAATATTCCTTATAAAAAATGTTTTTTGTTTCATTTTTTTGATCATTTTTTCATTATTATATAAAACAATAACATGAAAAAAAAATCATAAATAATAACTTTGTGTAACTAATTCAAATGACCAATATGTAAACCATATATATAATACCCAATAAACCAAGAGAATTTTCTAACATAAATCTAAGATGAAATCAATTGATTCATCAGTTTTCGCAAGTGAAAACATTTCCAATGGGTCAAAAGCCCTACAAGATGACATGATTATTAAATGAATGAATTGGTAATGTGTAAGAAACAACAAAATTTTTCTACAACACTTGAATATGTAGACCCTATAATGTTTATGTAGCAATTCCAATAAATGGTAACTCTAATACCCAGAAACCCGTTACTTGCCTTAAATTCCACTAGTATCCCTCCAAAAAATAAAACGTCTTATCTAATCCAAGACCATAAATGCCTTTGGGCGCAAGCTTACTTAGTTGCTGGGTTAAAGAACATGAATAAATTTTAGATTGGTGTCTTAAATCTTTCATAAATTTTGATGATATGCTCGTACTCACCAATTCAATTTTTTTAAAAAAAAATTATTTAAGTTTATAGAAGCAAAAAACTCGAAATAGAATCCAATTAATACCTTGCATAGATAGAATACCAAAGCCACTGTGAGCTATGTCCAATAGAAACCTAATCACTAAAAAGTTGTGCAGCTATTTGTTCCCCTCCTAAATGAGCAAATTGTCCCAATTGGCTGTACCTATAAAAGATCATCAATATTTATAATAAAGGTATAATTTTCCATGGTTGAAATACAACATTATATACGAGGTATATTGATCTTTTCCCCAAGCCATTAAGATTGAATGATCTCATATCCAAGTATGCTTTTAAACAGGTAATATGCTATACCTATTCGTAGATTATGCCATCTATTTTTGAATTGAATTACAACCATGTATTGTGAAAGATGTAACTAGGTTGTAGACTTGTATTCTTATTTTCTAAAAACCATAAATTGGAAAACAGCACTAAAAAAACATGGAGAAGAAAGAATGTGCACAAATGGAGTATAAGTCCAATTTGTTACATAAAGGGATGGAATTGATGGCTACTTGTTCCCTTAAACCTAAGAAGACCTTTAAGATTCTTTTCACACTCTTCCATGTGGTTAAAACAGTTAGCAAGATAGATACCTTGCCGGTTTGCAACCTGAAACATTGGCAAATGTTGAATGTGTAAGTATGTAATTTCTTAGAAAGATCTCTATCAACACATGCAAAGAAAAAAGCTCCATCAACACTTGTAAATAGGCTAATGTATAAAAACCCAATCAACAAATAGCAAAAAACCAAAGACCTAAATAATTAGTAAATAGATAAAACAATGTGGTTAACTCACCAAGAACTGCTAACCCAAAAATGACATAGGTTAAGCAATTAAAACGTATCAACACTTGCCATTCTGGACTATCCAAGTTTATTAATATTGAAATATTTTATTCTACCATTAACATTTAGAGATCTTTTAATTTAAAACAATAAAACAAATTAAATTTATTATATTTAATAATGATAATAAAACAAATTAAATTTTAATTAAATCAACGTGCATTAATATCAACTAATAAAATTATAAAACGTTACAAATGAAAATAAATGAAATCAACGTTCACTAATATTTTATCAAATGAAATTAAATAAAATCATATTTAATGAAATACAAATGTATCAATCAAATATAAATTAATATACTATTTTATTCCATTAATTTAATTATAAAGAACTAATTTGATATATTTGCTTTATATATTTACACAAGAAATATATCAATTACTCAAATAGATACTATATTTAATCAAATATAAATGTATTAAATAATTAATTAAAAAATCAACTATTTTATAATGTAATTGTAGTATTTATTAATTTATTAATTATATATTGATTGATTTAATTTGTTAAATTAAAAAAATTTAAATTTTAATACTTTTAATATGAATTGAATTGAGAGTAATTTAAGATTAAAAATAAAAATAAAAATATAATCAATTTAATTTTTTTAATTATTTTTAAAATTAAAAATGTATTAAATAAAATAAAATGTATTTATTAGATATCACTTACTGATTTTTAAGACCATTCACATGTTAATATTTTAAGCCATCCATATAAGATATTTTTTATTTTTATCAAAAACTTTAACATTTATATATTTATATAAAATAAGTTTGAAATCCAAATATCAATTACTATAATCTTATTTTTTATTTTAATTCCTCCGAAAAACATTTTAAAAAATGCAATGAAAATGAAATTATGAATATTACAAATTATAGTTTATCAATATTTTTAAAAAATAATTTCAAAATGTATTTTTAATCCTAGAGCAAATTAACGAAACGTAAAATCAATTTAAAATTAATATGGAAAGTCAGCCTGTCACTGGACGAACCAATATAGAAAGTCACCTGTAAAGTCGCCATAACAGCAAATAAGGAAAGTCAGTCAGTCACTGTCAACGATTCTTTTCCTCGAAAACAAATCACCCAGACGAGCCAATATGGAAAGCCACAGTACCAAAGTCACCCGTACAAACCAATATGGAAAGTCAGCCTCTCACTGTCAACGATTTTTTTCCTTAAAAATAACTCGCTGTCACTGTGGTTAAGCATATACAACTGGCAGTGATATTTTTCCTTAAAAACAACGTGACAGATTAGATATTATTGTAGTAATATTTTAATAATATTTTAAATTAATTTTAAATTAATTTAAAAAATATTAGATAATTGGTTATAAAAATTAATTTAATTATTATTTTTATTAATTATATTTTTTATTTTGTAACATTTTATCTTTATATAAAGAACCTTTTGAGTCTCGTTATAATACACAAATCATTACAGCACACTTCTAGTTCTTCTTCTTTTTGAATTCTTGATTAGTCTTGGGCCTCTTTCCTGCTTACTTGCTTCAGCCTTCATTTCGCCTCCTATCTCCTAAGAATGGCTGTAAGCAACAAACAGGTGATATTCAAGAATTATGTGAGTGGTCTGCCCAAAGAATCAGACATGGAAGTAATAGAAAGTAGTATTCAACTGAAGGTGCCAGAGGGTACTAAAGATGCAATTTTACTCAAGAATCTCTACTTGTCTTGTGATCCTTATATGAGAGGCCGCATGACGAACCTTGAAACATTATATATGCCTTCTTTCGAGCCTGGCTTGGTGAGTTAGACAATCGAAACTCCCATTTGCATTTTTTTAATCAACTACTCTATATTGAAGAATTTTGTCTTTTTTTTCCTTCACTCAGTGATCTTTACATGCAGAGTTGCAGATTTTGTTGACTTGTCTGGTAATTCTTGGTCAATGTGAATTTTAATGACAATAAGGCTAAGTTAAAGTATAGAGTTATAGATCAGAGATTCATTAAAGTGAGCGTAAATTATGAACAATGACAGGAAAATTAGCATTATTGTTGTCTTGTGAATTGGATTCTTTCTGATTATGTTCTGAACAGTGAAGAATATATCATATTTCATGTATATGGTTCAAATTAAAGATGATAGTTTATATAGATGAACTGTAGCTGTCTTCCTACAACGGTGAATTACTAAACTGTGTCATATGTTCAAGATTCAAATGTAGCATAAATTAGGACAGTGCTACTACAAAAGCTGCAATTGAAACTGAGTTCAGGACAAATGTAGTTTTCAGATTCTATTTGTATTTGGAATTATTTCTCGGTTGACCTTTAAATGTTGAAATTGCACAGCCTCTAAGTGGTTTTGGAGTGGCCAAAGTTCTGGATTCTACACATCCAGATTACGAAAAGGGCGATTTCGTTTGGGGGATAACTGGTTGGGAAGAGTATAGTCTCATAACAGCACCAGATCATTTTTTCAAAATTCAACACATGGATGTGCCTCTTACCTACTATACTGGACTTCTTGGTAAGTTTATTTGGAATTTATCAAGATGAAAATACTTTTTACTGCTGAGAAAACAAATTTTCCCTCTTTTTTGTTATATCATATTGGTTAATTATTTGCATTATTTAAATGAATTATGCTTGTTCAATGCATTTAAAAAATCAATTTATATGAACGTAGATGTTATCTTAACTAATTCATGAAACGATCTTTAAAAAATGACGTCTAATTAATTTAAATTTAAATTTTAACACTTATAAATTTTTTTTTTCAAAATATGACCTTGCCAAAAGCCAAATTAGCTTTATTGGTTTTGGTGTTGTACATTTTCTGGCATCAAAGATGAAGGTCATGGGATCAATCTCAAAAATCGTGTGGATAGCATCAAAAGAAACCTTTTTTGCTGGCTCATTATAGAGAAAAAAAAACCTACTTAGATAATTCATAATAAAAATTAACATTGTTCTTTCAGTCTTGTATAAGCACAAAAATTAATAAATAATAGCTTTCAGTTTATCCTTAGATTTGACATCTTTGAGCCCATAACCAAAAATAAAAAAAAATAAAAGACATCTTTGAGCCAGACAATTTTCATGATGTAATGGACTTGCAAACAGCGTATCAGGTCATTATGTTAGGTTGTCGTGTTCCCCACTTCCCCCAATCCCGCCCTCCAGCTTTTATTTATTTTTTTAATCTTGGAGCTATCTAGCTTTGCAGAATACTTTTGGAAAGGATTTTGCTATAAAAATTTTGAACAGTATTGTGCTGGGATGACATTTGAGCAGTGGGGAACACGACAACCTAACATACTGACCTGATACGCTGTTGTATGCATCATAAGCGTTATCAGATTGTATGCATGGCTCTATTGTATGCATCATAAGCGTTAAAGCTACTTTTAGCAAAGACATCAAACCTATTGAAAAAAGAATGCCACATTCTAGGGCACTTATCAGATATGTAGCCACTGCATTAAGCTTGGAGACTAAAAGTACTAAATCAATGAACAATCATGACTCATATCCTAAGCAATTTGCACCAACTGTTTATTGTCACTCAAAAAATGTTAGTTATAGTGTAGCCATGCTGTGAGAGGGATAGCAACATTAAAAATCACTTTTTGTCCAAGAACATAAAAACCTGAGTAACTTCACAATATTGAGATTCGAGTCAGGTAGTTTGTTGCCCTTACAATCCTGGTACGTCCTTCGTTTGGTAATTCAGATTTAGTTCAGTCTGAAATAATGTCTGCATTTGTGTACAAGTGCAAGCAAAGCATGTATGGTTGATAAGCCACGTAAATTGCCACCCAATTTATTATTTCTCTCAATCTGTTATTCTGTTATGACGAGAGTTGACTACATAATATATGTTACATTCAGAAGCCTTGATAGTCATTCTCTGTTTCCTGAGGTGGCCTTATGCTCATCTAATTGTTCTTCAATTTGTCATTATAGGTATGCCTGGTATGACTGCTTATGCTGGTTTTTATGAGGTATGCTCCCCTAAGAAAGGAGAGTACGTCTATGTATCAGCTGCATCTGGAGCAGTTGGTCAGCTTGTTGGGCAGTTTGCAAAACTGTTAGGCTGCTATGTTGTTGGAAGTGCTGGAAGCAACAAGAAAGTGAGTATTATGATGATGTGGCCTCTTTATCACACTTTTCTGTATCCAGTAGCTTCATAATCTGATTAGATCTAGCAGTAAGCATTACTCTTGAAACTTTCCTCCATCCAATCATTTTATTCTTTGACCACCAAGGGAAGTGTGACAAACCTGCACAAGTAAATAAGCTGTTGAACTTAAAATTCAACGGCCACAAACTTTCTGGTGCTACATGTTAACTTTTAGAAGCCCAATTCTTCATTGCCATTTCTCCTTTTTTCCCCCTTTCTATCTGATTATCGTTGTTATTTCTGCAATAAAAGGTTGAGTTACTGAAGAATAAGTTTGGGTTTGATGCTGCTTTCAACTATAAGGAAGAGCCAGACTTGAATGCTGCTTTGAAAAGGTCAGTAGTATAAAGATATTTTACTTATAATTTTGAATAATTTAGCTAATATCATACAATAATCTATACAAGGATTTTAGCAATAGTTATTAATCACAGACTGCCCCGGTGGTCCAATCGGCTGACCACTGATCCGGCCATTGGACCAGTCCATTTATTATGGTATACATACATTAAAGAGTTGATTTTCAGGTCTGAAAGTTCATTATACACTAGTAATAACAGTCCACTTAATAATCTGTTTGGTCTGCTTTTTTTTTTTTTTTAAAGGAGCCAAGATACTATTTTGTATTCAGATGTCATATATTGTCCCAATGCTGTGTTTTTTCCAGGTACTTTCCTGAAGGCATTGATATTTACTTCGAAAACGTTGGGGGAAAGATGCTGGACTCAGTGCTGCTAAACATGAGGAACCATGGTCGCATTGCTGCATGTGGAATGATCTCACAGTACAACCTAGACCATCCTGAAGGAGTGCACAACTTGGTGCCTGTTGTGTTTAAACGGGTTCGCATTGAAGGGTTTTTGGTTAATGATTTCTTTCATCTCTATCCCAAGTTTCTAGAAATGGTTATACCTCACATCAAAGAAGGGAAGATAACATACGTTGAAGATATAGCCGAAGGCCTCGAGGGTGCTCCAGCTGCTCTCGTTGGCCTATTCACTGGTCGCAATGTTGGGAAACAGTTGGTTGTTGTCTCCCGTGATTGATGAAAACTATACCAAACCTCATAGAAGTTGCTTGATTGTTGCATTTGCTTCTTTAAGAACTGATCGACTGTTTCTGTTTGGTTGAATAAAATGATTTAGTGGGGGCTTGGGTGCAACTGCACCTCCGGTGAAGAGCAGTTAAACTCTTATTATTATCAGTTGAATTTAAATATCAATTTTAATGAAATTTATTTAGTATAAATTTTTTATTAAATTTTTTTAATTGTTGTTATAATAATTTTTTTTCAATTACAATTATAATAATTTTTATTATTATTTTTAATCTCATCAAAATTAATTTCATTGTTTATTCATATGGATCCTTAGAATATTAGTTTGTAGTGAATTTTATACTGCCAAATTATATATAATATTATATTATAAAATATATGATTATTTAATAAAATTTATTTACATGAATTCTTAAATGAATAATTTATTTATTTGATATATAAGAAATTTGACACGTAAAATAATTTTTATTTTATATTACTTATCAATTAAATTAAATAAATATATTTAAAATAATTATTAGTTATCAAAATCTCTATTATATTTTAAATTAAATATTAATTTAATTTTATAATTCAAAAATTAAAAAATATGAAATGATAAATATTTTAAATTTTAAAAAATAAAGAATCAATTTTAAAATTAAATCATGAAATAAAATTTTCAAACTTTAAAATCTCAAAAAATTATTTTTATCTTAATAAATTTTCTCATTTTTTTATTTTTTAAACTTCTTAAAATTTGAATTCATAATATCATTTATTAATTTTTTAAATTTAAAATATATTTATCAATTTGAATTCTATACTGTTAAAAAAGGTCGTTCATGATCATGAGCGTCATTTTCGCTGCTTTCAGTTGAAACAGGGTAAAAGACGGGGGGAAAAAAAAAAGGCTACCCAATTTCCACCATTTTTCCTGCTTTTTCTCTTACTCTATTATTTCTTCCCATGCGCTTCGCTCGGATCTCAAATTGTCTCTCCTCCTTCACTTCGTCATTTTCCTCTTTCTTCCTCGGCTCGATATTGGGGAGCCGTGAGCTTAACCTTTTCTTCTCCCTTTCCCTCTCGGCTCTCGATCTTTCGAAGCTAAAACCTTTACATTTCGTGTTTCCTTTGATTATTATGTAAATCTTGCTAACAGGAAACGAACATGGAAAACTTAACAGCGCAGCTAAAGCGAGGAATCTCCCTCCAATTCTCGACTGGGTCGTTAAAACGAAGTTTCAACCGCCAATTCACGCGGCAGTCGTCGCTGGACCCACGGAGGAACAACCAACGGTTCAGCTTCGGCCTGCAGTCGTCGCTGGACCCCATTAGGAGGAGTCCCATCCAGGATGAGCTAACGGTGCCGGAGAACCTGGACTCCACCATGCAGCTTCTGTTCATGGCGTGTAGAGGGGACGTCAAAGGAGTGGAGGATTTGTTGAACGAAGGCATTGATGTATGGCCGTACTGCTTTGCATATCGCTGCTTGTGAAGGTCATGTTGAAGTTGCCAGGCTTCTTCTTTGTAGGAAAGCTGATGTTGATGCCCGTGATCGTTGGGGTAGCACGGTACATATCTTTTGATTTTTTGTACTTTCTTTATTTCGTCTCTCTTTTAAATCTTCTAAGTTGCATTCGGTACTACAACGTAACGATAAATTAAGATAAGATAATATTAAGAATAAATTGAATTAGAGTAAATAATAATATTTTATTTTGTATTTGATTTATGTAAAGATTTTGATAGGATAATTTTATTTATTGATTAAAATTATTTTTTATTAAAATTTATATAATTTAAGTTATTAATATAATTTTTAAGAGTATAATAAGACACGTAAATTTAATCTCTTAAATTAAAAATAATTATTTTTACTTTTAGAGGATTGAATCATCATATATGCTGAGGATGATTTATCCCCCTTGAAATTGTATTCATTTTTTAAATGCAAATCAAACATGATACAAGATGATTATCATCTCATCTTTTTTATCATCCTAGGCACGAAACATTGTCTTAATTGTTTGAATTGTGAGGAAAGGTGGGATTTTGTTGCAGGTTCAATTTAATTTTTTGTTATAATTGTGATAGATGATTTTTATTGGCTGGTTCTGTTGAATTGGGATAATCATAATTCTATTGTATTGATTTTTGGACAATGGGATTTAAAAATGTGAGATTAGCTTTGAAGGATTTGTGGGATTAAGTATAAGGAATTGGGATCTTGTGGAGGTTGGTAAGTTATATGGTTGTTGGTTCTGGCAAATTAGGATGTAGATAAATTTGCATAACAGTACTAATGGCCCTGAATTCTAATTTTAATTTGCTTGATAATACTGCATGGATTAAATTACTTAACGATGATATGAATGCATTTTGAGCAATGTTAATGAAGTTCTTTTTATTTGGGCAGGCAGCTGGTGATGGAAAGTACTATGGAAATGTAGATGTGTACAATATTTTGAAGGCCCGCGGAGCCAAAGTTCCTGTACGATATTAACTTTTCTTCTTTTTCTTTTTCCATCTATACATAATTTCTCTTTGTGATTGACTATTTATGCATGTATGAAGATTGAAATTTACATATGTACATGATATTAGAAAACCAGGAAGACACCAATGACAGTTGCTAGCCCTCGAGAGGTTCCTGAGTATGAGCTTAATCCATTGGAGCTTCAAATTCGGAAGTCCGATGGTATAACAAAGGTCTGGTTCTTCCTTTTACTGGATTGATGCTTTTTGAAGCTCCTATATGGTCCAATCTGAAAGGTGATTAGGTTGACTTGCAGATGGTATCTGCATTTCATTCATTCTGCTGCGAAATGATTAGTCTAGGTTTCTATTGCTAGGTTTGGTTCTCTTTTCAGTCCAGTTCCCCTTTCAAGAGGCATGGTGCTTCTTGTAGGCAATTGTTACAATTGATGAAAGATTACTGGGCATATACAATTGTTTTAAAAGCGTTAAAGTTGTTGATGGATTAGTAGGCATTTTATCATAATTGTTTTTTTTAGGGTTAATAGTGCCTTATTTGGCATTAGTTTGGGTGTCACATGCATTCAACATTTTCTTTTGATCTCTGCGTTGTCGTGAATTTGGTAAAACAATCTGTTGTCTTATATTATTGGTAATAACACATTTTAGATCCTTGAGACTGACATGTTTTCTTTAAATTCTCAAGATTAAAGGTTTTCTCTGCTTTTTCTATGCAACTTGGAATTTGTCAATCATATAATAAAATGGATAAACTTCTTCATATTTTTCCAAGAAGGAATATCTTTAACTCTGCATAATCTCCCTCAAATATTCACTAAACTGTTGCTCCTTCGAGCAAATGATTGGTATACTCTTGACTATGTTTTAGGTAGTCATGGCTGTTGCCTCTGAGGTTGATGCACAGATCTGCATCTTGATGATTTTATATTATTGTCTCACATCTGAAAGAGTTGAAAAGTTCCACAACACTCTTCCTTCTTTTCTTTTTTTTTATTTTGTGCTTTTTATAGATGGATTATTAACATTTCATAAATCACTTGCCAGGAATCATATCAAGTGGCAAAATGGAATGGCACCAAGGTTGCTATAAAGATACTAGATAAGGACAGCTATTCAGATCCTGAGAGCATGTATGCATTTACCTTGTTTTATCTTAGATTTGTGTTTGACTCATGTGAATGAAAACATGCAAATGTCCTTCCTTTTTGACATCAGCCATTTACACTCATGATGTAACTAAGCACCTTCCTTGGCTTCTTACACTTTCTTGGAATTCAAAGCATCTCTTATGTCACATGCCGATTCTTACCTAGATGACCATACAAAAAATTTTTGTTTTTTTCTTATCATTTTGATGTCTAAAACTACTCATATCCTTTTTTTGCCACTTTTATGCATGTTTTTGTGGGCGTTGCAAATAAGTTTGTATGTAAATTATTTCAAAAGGTCGATCCCCTCCCAGCCACCTATTCGTCTTCTTATGTTGTATTTTTCTAAAATTTTGGTTCTGACATAGTCTGAATGCCTTGTGACTGCATTTAAGTAGAGCAGTTGGATGCTTTCCAATATGCATTTTTGTGCATACCACAAGAATAGGGAAAGAAATGAGTAAGGTTTGCTAATTTTCTTTTAATCAGCTGATATGAGTTCTGCAGTCTAAATTCCAAAGAAGAAGAAACTAAGGGATATTTCTGGGAGCAAAAATGGCCAAAATATAACACTAGTCTTGATAATTAGTACTTCATAAAGCTGGTGTAAAGCAACTTTCTAAGTAGCCTTATACTGAGCTGGACACTAGAGTGATTGATATGTAAAATTTTGGTTTAGTCTTTATCGAGTAAGCACTTCCATTCACTTATATCAGTATTTTCTGTCAGTTTGATTAGGGAATATAACAAACATGGCCAAAATATAACACTAGTCTTGATAATTAGTACTTCATAAAGCTGGTGTAAAGCAACTTTCTAAGTAGCCTTATACTGATCTGGACACTAGAGTGATTGGTATGTAAAATTTTGGTTTAGTTTTTATCGAGTAGCCTTCCATTCATTTATATCAGTATTTTCTGTTAGTTTGATTGGGGAATATAGCTCTGATTTCACTCAATCATTTCTTATCTGGTGTAATGGCACCAGATGATGACTTAAATGCATTCATTTCAACTTTTGAGGTTACATGAAGTAGATGACTTTGTTGTCTGATCGTTTATAGAGTTTAGCACATATTTTTTTTGGTTACTATATATTTCTTGTTTTCTGATAGCTGTTTGATTTTTCCAATTCTTGTTAAAAGGATGATGGGTTTTTTTTGTTACCAACTTCGTTGCAGAGCCTAACACATCTCTTCCCTTAACAGAAATGCTTTCAAGCATGAGCTAACTTTACTAGAAAAAGTCCGACATCCTAATGTGGTTCAATTTGTTGGAGCTGTTACACAAAATATTCCCATGATGATTGTTTCAGAGTATCACTCTAACGTAAGCATGTCTCTCTTCCTACCCCTGCCTGC